GATTTTGCACAACACTGACGGAGATAAAGCAGACGCAAACAGCCTTGAAAAAGTCGCCGGAAAAGACTTCCGGTGACTGATTTCTCTTCCTGGAATCGCTGGAATTTATGCACAGCGATAAATCTCTCACAATTGCTCTGATACCATGTGAGAAAGCATGGGAGAAAATATGTTATTGATATTTGGATAATAAATACAATACAAGAGGTCCCTATTTATAGCTATACACTACAAGGAGATATTACTTCTCTTCCAATGTGGGACAAAAATACACTATACATATCTGTAAACTAACAAGGGGAATATCGTTTAAAGATAAAAAAGATAGCGTGCAGAAGATTGCATACATTAGAGATGCAAAATACAGAATACCCATACTCCCAGATAATGCAGTATGCCTTTTGCATGACCCACTGGTTGAATGGAAGCACCTGGTCAATTTACTAGGTGTGTTAGTGATTTTTGCTGCTTCCTTCCCCTTTCTAAACTACATACTATCTAAAATGTTAGGGGGACAGAAGCCCAGTCAATCTGACTAGGTGATGTTAGTGGTTTCCGCTTCTTTCTCCCACTTCTAAATGCGTACTTTCTCAAATTTAGGAGCATAGAAACTTAAGCAGCTGCCTACCTGAGGAGGTGCATGGGAACATAAGAGAATAGACTTTACCTGTCATATTTTCCATACCTTAGTTAATTACAGTGTTATCCTGATAATGATCTGTTTTCTGTATCTAGGCTGAATCGAGATTCAATCGCTTTTGGCTGAAAGGATGCTGCTACAGATCCTTAGTTTACATCATTGTGGTTCTTATTCTATAAGTACTTCCCCTATCAACTACTTCCTTCTTTTTTCTTAGGTTATTTGCCTCTTAGGTTGTTTGCAAGGAAAGGAACAATAGATGTTTTGATGGAATAGCAACTCCAAACCACTTCCTTAAGGCTAATATACTGTTTGGCCAAGCTTCTTCAAAGTCCAAAGCCCTTTTTTGTCTTCAAAAAAGTATCTTTTTTTCCCAAAGTTGAGGTGTTTGGCCAAACTTTTGGAAGGAAAAAAAAGTGCTTTTGAGTAAAGCAGAAGCTCTTGAGAAGTAGAAAAAGTAGTTTTTTCCCGGAAGCATTTTTTTGAAAAGCACTTTTGAGAAAAATAAACTTAGAAACACTTTTTAAAAGTTTGGCCAAACACTAATTGCTGCTTAAAAGTGTTTTTCAGATTTATTAGCCAAACACAAACTGCTTCTCACCAAAAGTACTTTTTTGAAAAATACTTTTTTGAAAAGTGATTTTCAAACAAAGCACTTTTCAAAATAAGTTTATTTTAGAAGCTTGTCAACCGGCTATAAATGTCTTTTATTTTTACAGCTAGAGTACCCTAACACCTGTAAATTCCCCTAGACATTTTTTTCGACTTTGTTAGCTCATTAACCCTAGTATAGGACTCTTTGTTTTGGAGCTAGCAAACTCTTTTGTTTTCCTATTTTTGCATCTTCTTGGTGCCATTTATAATATCTCTTACTTCACCAAAAAAAATAAGTTCCCAAAATATGACTACCTTGAGTTGGCCAAAGCATAACCAAAGCTTGGGCACACCAGTGTTTGCGTGAATTTTATGGATGTTCCTTACCTTTATCCTTCTGTGCTTATGTAGCATCTGTCTTGGTTAATCTTTTCTGAAGTCTATAGTGTATTTCTGTGTTGCAACATGAGTTTACTGTCAATCTTACTGTTTGACCTCAATTTTGGGTTCTTTTTGATTTTGAAAGACATCGTTTAACAGGTTGGCATGGCTGCTACTCTTGCTGGTGTCTGTCAGGTGCCTCTCACTGCTGTTTTGCTTCTCTTTGAACTGACACAGAATTATCGGATAGTTCTGCCCCTCTTGGGAGCTGTGGGGTTGTCTTCTTGGGTTACATCTGGACAAACAAGGAAAAGTGTAGTGAAGGATAGAGAAAGACTAAAAGATGCAAGAGCCCACATGATGCAGCGACAAGGAACTTCTTTCTCCAACATTTCTAGTTTAACTTATTCTTCAGGTGTGAAACCTTCACAGAAAGAGAGTAACCTATGCAAACTTGAGAGTTCCCTCTGTCTTTATGAATCTGATGATGAAGAAAATGATTTGGCAAGGACAATTCTAGTTTCACAGGCAATGAGAACACGATATGTGACAGTTCTAATGAGCACCTTGCTAACGGAGACCATATCCCTCATGCTAGCTGAGAAGCAATCTTGTGCAATAATAGTTGATGAAAATAATTTTCTCATTGGTCTGCTGACACTTAGTGATATCCAGAATTACAGCAAGTTGCCAAGAGCAGAGGGCAATTTCCAGGAGGTAGCTTCTTGGTACATTTCAATATTCTTAACTGATGAAAAAATAAGGGAAATTGATCTAGCATGAAATTAAGCTAATTATAAGTTTTACACTGTAGAACTGGTAAAACAGGGTTGGCTGGATATTTCTTTGTTGAATTTTTAGGATTATATGTATTGTTTTAGTTTTGTAGGTTGTTTTCTGATGTGCTTTTTGACTTGGCAGAATCTTAAGATGAAATGGAAGGTGTTTAACCAAAAAATAGAATTTTCAGTCAAAGCCTATATTTAGAAGAAAACGGGTTATTGATAACCAAGTTTTACTTTACTTCCCCAACAATCTATTTGGTAAATAGCAAAAGTAATGCGTATGTGAGAAAGCACGGGAGAAAATATATTATTGATATTAGATATTCAATATAATACAAGAGGTCCTACACATCATATAGCTATAGTCTACAAACTACATATTACTCTCATTCCAATGTGGGACTACACATAACTAACACTCCCCCTCAAGCCGGTGCATACATATCATATGTACCGAGCTTGTTACACATGTAACTAATACGAGAACCAGTAAGAGACTTAGTGAAAATATCTGCTAGTTGATCATTTGACTTTACAAACTTTGTAAAAATATCTCCTGAAAGTATTTTTTCTCTGACAAAGTAACAGTCGATCTCAATGTGTTTAGTCCTCTCATGGAATAGCGGATTTGACGCAATATGAAGAGCAGCTTGGTTATCACACACCAGTTCCATCTTGCTGATTTCTCCAAACTTTAACTCCTTGAGCAACTGCTTGACCCAAACTAACTCTCACGTTGCCATAGCCATTGCCCGATATTCGACGTCGGCGCCAGATCGAGCAACTACATTCTGTTTCTTGCTCTTCCACGAGACCAAATTACCTCCTACTAGAACACAATATCCAGGCGTAGAACGTCTATCAAAAGGTGATCCTGCCCAATCAGCATTTGTGTACCCAACAATTTGCTCGTGGCCTCGATCCTCGAGTAGTAATCCTTTGCTTGGAGATGACTTTATATACCGAAGAATGCGAACAACTGCATCCCAGTGACTATCACAGGGAGAATCCATAAACTGACTTACAACACTCACCGGAAAAGAAATGTCAGGTCTAGTCACTGTGAGGTAATTCAATTTGCCAACCAACCTCCTATATCTCGTAGGGTCTCTAAGAGGCTCCCCGTGTCTAGGCAGAAGCTTAGCATTCGGATCCATAAGAGAGTCAATAGGTCTGTAACCCATCATTCCAGTCTCCTCAAAAATGTCTAAGGCATAATTCCGCTGTGAAATAACAATACCTGAGCTAGACTGAGGCACTGAGCAACCTCAATACCTAGAAAATACTTCAATCTGCCCAGATCCTTAGTCTGGAAGTGCTGAAAGAGATGTTGCTTCAGATTAGTAATATCATCCTGATCATTGCCAGTAATAACAATATCATCAACATAAACCACTAGATAAATACACAGATTAGGAGTAAAGTGCCGATAAAACACAGAGAGATCAGCCTCACTACGAGTCATGGCGAACTCCTGAATAATTATGCTGAACTTACCAAACCAAGCTCGAGGGGACTGTTTCAAACCATATAATGACCTGCACAATCTACACACACAACCATTAAACTCCCCCTGAGCAACAAAACCAGGTGGTTACTCCATATAAACTTCTTCCTCAAGATCACCGTGGAGAAAAGCATTCTTAATGTCTAACTGATGAAGGGGCCAATGACATACAACAGCCATGGACAAAAAGAGACGAACAAATGCTATTTTAGCCACGGGAGAGAAAGTATCACTATAATCAAGCCCAAAAATCTGAGTATATCCTTTTGCAACAAGACGAGCCTTAAGCCGATCAACCTGGCCATCCGGGCCGACTTTGACCGCATAAACCTAATGACAACCAACATTAGACTTACCTGCAGGAAGAGGAACAAGCTCCCAAGTGCCACTCGCATGTAAAGCAGACATCTCGTCAATCATAGCATGTCGCCATCCTGGATGAGATAGTGCCTCACCTGTAGACTTAGGGATAGAAACAGTGGACAAAGAAGATATAAAAGCATAATGAGGTGATGACACACGATGATGACTTAAACCGACATAGTGGGGATTAGGATTACGTGTGGATCGTACGCCTTTGCGGAGTGCAATTGGTTGACTAAGAGGAGACAAGATCGTAGTAGGTGCAGAATCTGATGCAGGGCGTGAATCACTTGGGCATGATGTTGGATGTGGACGACGATGATAAGTCAAGAGTGGTGGAGCTGCAGAAGGTTGAACTGGATTATGTGGAGGAACTGGAGGTGGAGCTACAACTGGAGCTGTAGGTGGTGGAACTGGAGCTATAAGTGGTGGAGCTACAACTGGAGCTGGAGATGTAGAGGAAGATGAATGAGAGATAGTGACTGAATCTCCAAAAAATAAAATTGGTAGTACCTCAGAAATATCTAAGTGATGACATGAACCTGTGAAGTATGATTGAGTTTCAAAGAAGGTAACATCAGCGGACATAAGGTACCGCTGAAGGTCAAGAGAGTAGCATCGATACCCCTTTTGTGTTCTCGAGTAACCTAGAAATACGCACTTAAGAGCACGAGGAGCTAACTTATCTGTTCCTGGAGTAAGGTTATGGACAAAACAAGTGATTCCAAAGATACAGGGTGGAAGAGAGAACAAAGGTAAGTGGGGAAACATGACAAAGAATGGAACTTGGTTTTGGATAACTGAAGATGGCATACGATTAATAAGATAGCAAGATATAAGAACTGCATCCCCCCAAAAACGAAACGGAGCATGAGATTGTATGAGTAGGGTACGAGCAATTTCAATAAGATGTCTATTTTTTCTTTCAGCTACCCCATTTTGTTGAGATGTGTACAGACAAGATGTTTGATGAATAATCCCATGAGATTTCATAAACTGCTGAAATGGGGAAGACAAATACTCTCGGGCATTATCACTAGGAAATGTGCGAATAGAAACCCCAAATTGATTTTGAATTTTTAGCGTGGAAGGTCTGGAAAAATAGAAAACAACTCAGATCGATTTTTTATCAAAAATATCCAAGTGCACCTTGAATAATCATCAATTATTCAATAAAACTGACAAAGTAGCAGAATCCCAAGGTGGAACTGACCCGACTAGGACCCCAAACATTTGAGAATGGACTAAAGTAAAAGGTGACTCTGCTTGATTATCAAGACGCCGAGGGAAATGGAAGCGAGTATGCTTATCGAACTGACATGACTCACACTCTAGAGCTGACAAGTGAGATAAACCAGATACCATTTTATGAAGTTTTGACAAATTGGGATGTCCCGACCGTTTATGTAATAAATTTGGTGTATTAGTAACAGGACAAGTTGTTGAAGGAAGACAAGATGTGAGTCCGTGTGATTTAGCAAGGATAAGGTAATAAAGTCCGTTTGATTCACGTCCGGTACCAATAATTCGTCCCGTACTGCGTTCCTGTATAAAAACATGGTCATCAAGAAATAAAACAACGCATTTAAGTGATTTGGCTAAGCGACTAATAGTTATGAGATTAAAAGGACTATTGGGAACATAAATGACTGAATATAAAGGTAAGGAAGGAAGTGAGCTTGCTTGACTTATTGTTGTTGCCATTGTTTGAGACCTATTGGCCATTGTGACTCTTGAAAGAGATTGAAAATACGAAATAGTAGTGAAAAGAGATTTGTTACCAGAAATATGATCTGATGCACCTGAATCAATGACCCAAAACTCAGATGATGAAGATTGGGAGAAACAAGTCACGCTATTACCTGTTTAAACAACAGAAGCTATCACAGAAGATGTCTGCTTACATGCTTTGTACCGAAGGAACTCAATATAATCTGCTAAAGAAACCATCCGACTATTCAAAGTATCGGTTCCCATGTCGCTACAATTTGTAGTAATAGGATGGATAGACTCGGAAAATTGTAAAGTTATCGGAATTTGTCGTAACCAGGATCGAGCAAGCTGTCTTGAAGAAATGGTTTCAAAAAATGTCCGGAAAGGTCACTTTTACGCCGGAAAAATATAAAAATGGTCGAAATTTGATTTGAATTAGATGGGTAGGCTCGGAATTGTGAGGAGAGCAGACTGTCCTGAAGAAGCTTAATGAAAAAATGGCCGGAAAGTGGCCGGAACCCTCGCCGTAAAAGTTGTTACCGGCGCGTGAAGGCGCGTGGCATTTTTTCTGCCAGATAAATTTTCAGGGGTTGGTCGTCGGAGGGTGATCCCTTGTGGTGGTGTTGGTTTTTGCACAATACCGACAGGCCTTAGGTCACCCGAAAATTTGCACGATGACTAAGTTCTTTCTTCCCGGTTAACGCTGGAATGACGCACATCGATCTTTTCTCACTAATGCTATGATACCATGTGAGAAAGCACGGGAGAAAATATATTATTGATATTAGATACTCAATATAATACAAGAGGTCATATTTATAGCTATAGTCTACAAAGTACATATTACTCTCATTCAAATGTGGGACTACACATAACTAACAACGTAAATTAACAAAGAGAAATAAGGAATGTAACAACAGTCAATCCCTAAAATCAAGGTAGAAAACTTTGATAAAGCAGAGAATTATAGAATGTATTTCAGTAGTACTTGGAACTTGTCCTTACAAATAAAATTCTTTATCCTTATATAGGGGCGTACAATCATAACATTTTTCGCACTTAATTCGAATTCATTATGAGCATTAATTGTATTGATTGCCCGTTATCATAGATAACCATAACTGACGTATTTGTAACTATAAATGCCTTATAACGGCTCTGATTCCCCTTCCTTATTTACTTCTGGTTTGTGTATCTTTCCTTCTTTTTAGCCTTTATTCATTCAGTTCTCGCCTCTTCTTTGACAACTGTCAAGCCCGATCCTCTGTTCTGTACTGTCTCGTGGGTGTTTCCCCCGTACCTTCCTTATATTCTTAATTCTGTTAATTGAGAGTGTCACTTGTCACTATGCCATTGTTCCACGCGTCATGTTTCATCCACGTGTAATATCTTTTTTCCACCAATACAGATAATCCCCCACTTTCTGAATATTCTCAACTGAATATTCGGGTAAGTTTTTATGGCGGGAATTCTTTGCCGTCGTTTTTCGAGTATCATCGTGTCATCTTCAGAACCGATGTGACGTACGTCACGTCTATTTAATGCCTATGCCAGGTGGCTTCTATCGATTGGCTCTGCAGTTTTTTAGCGCTTTTTAGGGTTTTTCAGCGGCTGCGTCAGTCACGAAGTGACGGTTCCATTATGACGCTTCATAATGACTAACTTTAATGATGGTCGTGTCTTCTTATTAATACTTCATTCCTTTTTGATCTCTTGGAGTCTTCCTTCTTCAGTATCCACCACATTACTTCTTTGTATTTCTGCATCTTCTCTTTGATATTCCTTTGGACAATCATGTCTTCTTCTACACCAGACCCCCGTAAGGTTGTGATTGTTGACGAACTTGATCTTTCTACTGCTCCTACTAGAAGTAGGAGAGGTGGTAGACTTCGTAGTCTTGGTTCACTATCTAATCGTGGTTCTTCTTCCCAGGGTAGTGCTGCTAAGCCATCTTCTTCTAGACCTAGGGCTCCTTTAACCCCTAGATCTTCTTCTAGGAATAGAGATTTAAATGATCCAGTGCGCGAACCTACAGTTGCAGAGATTGTTCCTCAAGAATTTTCTTTTGTAACTGACCGTGAAACCATAAGGAATCAAATTTCTTCTATAGCCTCCCTCAATACCGCTAACCTTTATCCAAGTTTAATCAGTAATGGTCTTCTCTCCCGGGTTCGAAGAGAATATTACTGAAACCAGATTTCCCAATTTTAGTCCCTGGTGCCAACCAGAGAATTACTCCATACCATGTTGGTTTTTCCTTTGTTTACACCTACCCTTTTACTTTAGGGTTCAAACCACCTATTGAACCAGTAATCATTGAATTCTGTCGTTATTTCAACGTGTGTCTTGGCCAGATTGACCACATAGTATGGAGGGCTGTTCATGCCTTCGTTATTTATCAGATTTGGTTTCCATGCCTTTCACTTTTCAGCACTTGCTTCATCTCTACTCCCCTAAATTGTTTCGTGAAGTAGTTTTTACTCTCGTGGCTAGAAGTAAGAGAGTGTTGGTTAGCCTTGAAGACGATTGGGACCGTGGCTGGTACGCTCGTTTTGTTGCTGCTCCCACTAGTGCATTAGTGGGTGAAGAAAATATGCCTTTCCCGGAGAAATGGAACTTTGCACGTAAGCTTTCTTCTCCTCTTTTTTTTTGTCTTAAAAAAACTCCATGTAATCATATACCCACTTCTTCAGCAACTATGGAAGTTTTTTATGCTTGGGTAGAAAAGATGTTAACTGCTGCGCCTATGGAGAAAAGATCCTGGAAATACTTTTCTCAAAGATTTGGTTGGAAAGTGAAGACGCACGGTACTTTTTACCTTCATTGTTTTTCCTTTTCTCTTCCTTGTTTGTTCAATGATTTCTCATCCTTCCCTTTTTTTTTACTAGGGTTTCCGATTCGTGGTATTAGTCCCGCGTCTGTTCCATCAACTAGGCTTTCCGTGATTCTTGTTCAGGAAAGAATTTTAAGTGCTTCTTCTTCAAAAAGGAAAACTGACGGAGCCCGTGGCTCTGATGACGAAGAAGAAACAGAGGAGGGTTCTTTGGTGCGAAGGTCACGCGTCAGGAGACGCGTGGTTTCTGATGATGAAACTACTCCTTCTCATGACCCTCTATCTAGTTCAATCCCTTTTAGACTCACGGATGAGCTAGAGAGTACCCCTTTAGTGATTTCTTATGATGATGCTGTTGATCCCCCTCCAAGTTCTGTTGATAGATTGTTTGCTCATGGCTTCGAGGGTGATGAAGTTTTGGGCCTGTTTCTGAAGAATTGCCCCTTGCTTCCCTTCCAGTTTCAGTTTTCATTAACCCTTCCGTGTCCTTACCTGATGATACTCCTGTTGTTATTCTCGTGGCTGCTTCTACTCCGTCATCTATTCCCGTGACTGCTTCTCATGCAGAGGCCAAACCTTCTAGCAGCAGAAGGGCAATGAAAAGAGTTGTTGTTGAGGTTCCTGAAGGTGAGAACTTATTAAGAAAATCCGGTCAAGCCGACGTGTAGTTGAAACCTATGCTCGGCCCCGTAGAGAAGAAGAAGTTAGAAAGCCATAGCTCACTCACTTTAATGAATGATATCGTTCATTCTTCCTTGAAAGTACAAGCTTAATTATATTTCCTTTCTTTTCTCTTTCTTATTCATAACTCTTCCTCCTTTTTTGCAGATCAACTTGATTGGCACAGAGCTTATGAAAAGAGTTTCTCAGGCGGACCGGCAAGTTATAGATTTGCGCACCGAGGCTGATAACTGGAAGGAACAATTCGAAGGTCTTCAATTGGAAAAAGAGGTTCCGGCGGAAGAGAAGAATGCTTTGGAACAACAGATGAGAGTGATTGCCTCTGAATTAGCAGTTGAAAAAGCTTCCTCGAGCCAGGTTGGAAAGGATAAGTATATACTTGAATCCTCCTTTGCTGAACAACTTTCCAAGGCAACTGAAGAAATAAGGAGTTTGAAGGAACTCCTTAATCAAAAAGAGGTTTATGCGAGAGAATTGGTTCAAACACTTACTCAAGTTCAGGAAGATCTCCGTGCCTCTACTTATAAGATTCAGTTCTTGGAAAGTTCTCTCGCTTCTTTGAAGACAGCTTACGATGCCTCTGAAGCAGAAAAAGAAGAGCTGAGAGCTGAGATTTACCAGTGGGAGAAGGATTATGAGATTCTCGAGGATAATCTATCGTTGGATGTAAGTTGGGCTTTCTTAAACACTCGTCTCGAGACTCTAGTTGAAGCCAACCATGAGGGTTTTGACCTTAATGCTGAGATTGCTAAGGCTAAAGAAGCAATTGATAAAACTCAGCAACGTCAAATCTTTTCCTCACCTGAAGACGAAGGTCCCGAAGGTGATGGAGATTGACTTGTTCCTGGTGGGGCTGATGTTCAAGCCTCTTCTTCTCAAGTTAATCATTCTGCTCCCGTGGATGATGCTCCTTATTTTTCTCCTGCTTTTTTGTTAACTTTTATTTTGTCGCTTTTCTCTTAGCTTAACAACTTTTTGGAAGGTTGTTTTTTGGTTACCCCTGTCTTCTTTTGGGGTTTAATGACAAACTAATACCTCTGTTGTTCCCAAGGTTTAATATATATATGTTTCGGCTGCTTTTACCGTTTATTCTGCTCTTTGATATTTGAGCTTTTTCCTTGCATTTAAAAATGTTTTAACAATCCGTGACTTTAATAAACACAGGTTTTCATAAAATAGAGCCCTTTTATGTTAACGACACTGATGAAGATGACGTCTCATCTTCACATTGGTGTAAATATATGAAAGACAGAGTAGACATGATAAAAGAAATAGTTTGAGGAAGTTTTGTGCTTTGAACTTTCAAATAAATTTCGTACATTTTCATAATTATTCGTACAACACTTTCATAACTGCTTTCTTTGTAGCAGATTTTAAGATACAAAATCGGGTCTATTATCCCGTGACTAGATTTTGGCCTTAACCTAAAACTCGTAAGAACATGTAATGTATCTTGTATCCTTTTCGCGAGTTCACACCTTGATCCGTGGTTTCTTCAAGGTTTTTGATTCAGGCTTTTTGCTCTCTTCTATATGCATAGTCCCCCCAGTGTTAGAGCTTTGAAGTATGAAATCTCGAACACTGGATTACTCCTTCCTTTTGGTCCATTCCCTGAAAAGGGAAATACAAACGGGACTCGCAGATATACATTTAGATGATGACTGCATAACCCCTTTTTCCATCAGAAAGGTTGCAACCTAAACCGGGAATAATTTAGTATTTCGCGTGTCTTTTGGGTCTAATATCATCATTTGGTACGGGCTAGCTTTTTGCCTATCATCTAAAATTGTTAGTAAATTTCAAAAGAAGAAAATAAAATCGTATCTGAGTGATACCTGCCCATGGGTACTTCCTTCGTCTAGAAGTAATACTTCTTCAGATGAACAGCGTTCCAGTTTGATGGTAGTATCTTGCCATCCATGGTTTCCAACTCATATGCTCCCTTTCCAGCGATGCCTTGAACCCTATAAGGGCCTTCCTAATTTGGACTCAACTTACCCGCGTTGGCCGCTGCTGTAGATCGGAATACCTTTTTGAGGACGAAGTCCCCAATCTTGAAGTATCTTAGATTAGCTTTCCTGTTGTAATATCGCTCAATCATCTGTTTTTGAGTCGTCGTCCTTATTAACGTTGCTTCTCTCCTTTCTTCTAGTAAATCCAAATTCATCTGCATCTCTTCCTCATTTAACTCCTCAGTAACATGCGTGTATCTCGTACTTGGTTCACCTATTTCTACTGGAATTAAGGCTTCAGTGCCATAGACAAGTGAAAATTGAGTCTTGACCGTACTTGTTTTTGCTGTCGTTCGATAAGCCCACAATACCCCTGGTAATATTTCTGACCAATTGCCTTTGACTCCTCTAATCTTTTCTTCAAGTTATTAATAATAACTTTATTTGTTGACTCAGCCTACCCATTGGCTACAGGATGGTAAGGTGCGGATGTAATCCGCTTAATCTGCCAACTCTAAAAGAATTTTGTAAGTTTCGTGCCTATGAACTTTGGGCCATTGTCACACACGATTTCCTTTGGAACTCCAAACCGGTAGATAATGTTTCGCCAAATAAAGTCCCTGACTTACTTTTCTTGCACCTGTTTGAAAGCTCCTGTTTTTACCCATTTTGAAAAATAATCTGTTAAAACTAATAGAAACTGTACCTTTCCTTTGGCTTGAGGTAACGGACCTACGATATCCACGCCCCATTTCATGAAAGGCCATGGCGAATAAACTGAATGTAACAGTTGTGTTGGGCGGTGCATGTTATTGGCATATCGTTGACACTTATCGCACCTGGCTACAAAGTTTTTCGCTTCTTCTTCCATTTTTTGCCAATAATATCCTGCTCTTATTAAAGTTTTTACCAATGATCTTCCCCTAGCGTGATTGCCACAGTGCCCCTCATGTACTTCCCTCATCACATATTCCGTTTGTGAAGGTCCGAGACACTGTGCTAAAGGTCCACCGAACATCTTTCGGTATAAGTTTCCACGAATTAAGAAATATCGGGCGGCTTTTTAGCGAAGCAACAGAGACTTTTTCTTGTCTTCGGGTAAAATTCCGTACTGCAAAAAGTTAACAAATTCGTTCCTCCAATCCCAAGTTAAATTTACCTCATTCTTGTCTAGGTCGAGTGCCGAATGAAACAAATGTATTATAATAGCATTTTTTGCATTTGTTATTTCCGCAACAGACGCGAGATTGGCCAACGCATCTGCTTCTACATTCTCCTCCCTGGGTATTTGGACGGCTTTCCACGACTGAAATTGTCTGACTAATTCCCGTACCTTTTCCAGATAATGTTGCATTCGTGCCTCTATTGCTATGTAAGTCCCCTGCATCTGGTTAACTACTAGTTGTGAGTCACTTTTGATTACAATCTGTTCTATACCAAGTTTTCGTGCTAGTTCCAAACCTGCAATCACAGCTTCATACTCCGCTTCATTGTTAGTGATGGGATAACATTTTATTACTTGTGTATGACTTCCCCTGAAGGCGGAATTAGAAAAATACCTAAGCCTGCTTTTTTAACATTCGAGGAACCGTCGGTAAATAAAATCCAAATCCCTGGATTAAATCCGGTAAATACCTGTAGTTCCTTTTCTGCTTTAGGAACTAAATTTGTGCTGAAATCTGCTATAAAGTCTGCTAAAACCTGCGATTTTATTGCAGTTCTGGGCTGATATATGATATCATACTCACCGAGTTCTATTGCCCACTTAACTAACCTACCAGATAGTTCTTGTTTATGCAATATATTCCTCAGGGGAAAAGCAGTTATTATAGAGATAGGATGACATTGAAAATAAGGTATCAATTTTCTAGATGCCATAATTAATGCTAAAGCGAGTTTTTCTAAGTGAGGATATCAAGTCTCAACATCTAACAAAGATTTACTAACATAATAAATTGTAGATTGTTTACCTTTATCTTCTCGTACCAACACTGTGCTTACCGCCACTTCCGACACGACAAGATAAATAAGCAGCCTTTCTCCGTCTTTTGGTTTGGCTAGAAGGGGCGGATTTGTCAAATATAATTTTAAGTCCTTGAGGGCTTGTTGGCATTCGCCAGTCCATTCAAATTGATTTTGCTTTTTCAATACTAAAAAGAGTTTAAAACTCTTTTCTGATGATTTTGAAATAAACCTCCCCAAGGCTGCTATTCTTTCTGTTAATCTCTGCACTTCTTTTTTGCTTGTGAGAACATCCGGCATTTCCTCAATAGCTTTGATTTGTGCAGGATTTGCTTCAATACCCCTGTTAGAAACAAGAAACCTAAAAACTTACCTGAAGCCACGCCAAAAGCACATTTTTTTGGATTTAGCTTCATATTGTATTTGTGGAGAATTTTGGAAGTGTCTGACATGTGCTGAAAATGATCTCCGGCTTGTACTGACTTGACTAGCATATCCTCACTATAGACTTCCATAGTTTTTCCCAGATGTTCTTGGAACATCTTAGTTACCAATCTTTGGTACGTGGCTCCAGCATTTTTTAGACCAAATGGCATGACTTTATAACAGTAAGTCCCCCTATCTGTGATAAACGAAGTTTTTTCTTCATCTAGTGGGTCCATCTTTATTTGGTTATAACGTGAATATGCATCTAAAAAACTTAACAACTCATGTCCTGCGGTGGAATCAATTAGTTGATCTATATGCGGTAAAGGGAACGAATCTTTAGGACAAGCTTTGTTTAAATCAGTATAATCTACACAAACTCGCCATTTCCCATTCTTTTTTTGGAACTACCACAGTATTAGCTAACCAGTTAGGGTATTTCACCTCTCGTATCAACCCAATTTTTAAAAGCTTTTGTACCTCATCTTGGATCACTTGATTTTTGAAGGATCCTTGCTTCCTCTTCTTCTGCTTGACAAGTGGGTATGATGGGTCCTCATAATCATTACCTCCGGTGGTATACCTGTCATATCTGAATGCGACCAAGCAAAGCAATCTACGTTAGCTTTTAAAAATTCAATTAACTTATCTTTCATTTCTGGGCTTAGATTTGCTCTGATGTAAACTTTTCTGTCTGGCCAGTGTTTAAATAGCACTACAGCTTCGAGTTCTTCAGTAGTTGTCTTCATGTTTTCATTTTCTTCTGGCTCTTGTGTGAGAAGGCACGGGAGAAAATATGTTATTGATATTGGATGATAAATACAATACAAGAGGTCCCTATTTATAGCTATACACTACAAGGAGATATTACTCCTCTTCCAATGTGGGACAAGACTACACTATACATATCTATAAACTAACACTCCCCCTCAAGCCGGTGCATACACATCATATGTACCGAGCTTGTTACACATGTAACTAATACGAGAACCAGTAAGAGACTTAGTCAAAATATCTGCTAGTTCATCGTTCGACTTTACAAACTTTGTAAGAATATCTCCTGAAAGTATTTTTTCTCTTACAAAGTGACAGTCGATCTATATGTGTTTAGTCCTCTCATGGAACACCGGATTTGACGCAATATGAAGAGCAGCTTGGTTATCACACACCAGTTCCATCTTGCTGATTTCTCCGAACTTTAACTCCTTGAGCAACTGCTTGACCCAAACTAACTCACACGTCGCCATAGCCATGGCCCGATATTCGGCTTCGGCGCTAGATCGAGCAACTATATTCTGTTTCTTGCTCTTCCACGAGACCAAATTACCTCATACTAGAACACAATATCCAGACGTAGAACGTCTATCAAAAGGTGATCCTGCCCAATCAGCATCTGTGTACCTACCAATCTGCTCGTGGCATCGATCCTCGAATAGTAATCATTTGCCTGAAGCTGACTTTATATACCGAATAATGCGAACAACTGCATCCCAGTGACTATCACATGGAGAATCCATAAACTGACTTACAACACTCACCGGAAAAGAAATGTCAGGTCTAGTCACTGTGAGGTAATTCAATTTGCCAACCAACCTCCTATATCTCGTAGGGTCTCTAACAGGCTCCCCCGTCCAGGTAGAAGCTTAGCATTCAGATCCATAGGAGAGTCAATAAGTGTGCAACCCATCATTCCAGTCTCCTCAAATATGTCTAAGGC